TTTTTCAATACTTGTTTGACTTTTATCTCTTCCTTGCCTTTTGAAATAATAAGAAAAACAAGTGTTACTTACTGCAATGTCAGTGTCAAGAAACTAACAGCCTGATCCAGGACCCATCAATATTGTTGGAAAACCTCCCACTCTTTCAGGGGGTGGTGTTCTAGACTTGGAATGGACAGATCCTTCATGCTCAGGAGGCATCTTTATTCCCAAACAGGTGTCTTACAGTCCAACAGGTGCAAGCATGTCTGCATACCACATGCTCTTGCTTCAATAAATCCTGCTTGTTTTGCAAGCCAAATTCAATCCCTAGGCCACATAGGAAGTTCTCCTTCAGAACAGAGCAATCAAAAGCTGTAAAACTCCTAGAAAAGTCAGGTTTTTCTAAACTAACCTCGAAATTAGCCTCTTGGCTAAACTGTATATATTGCATTTACATCTTTCCTGTTAAAGTGAATATTCTTTATTCCTCATGTGATGAAGTATCTTGTAGTACATATATAGGGTGAGAAACAAAGCTGAATTAGCATTACAAAATCACTTTAACACTGACAGATTTCCAAGGCTGCTGATTTTATTATCCCTTTTGGTGGACAGCACTACCATTTTCTACGCTCTGAGATTCTTTCTCTCAGTTGAGTGCACTTTGTACGCTGTCAAAAATATCTGTCTTTTTATTCTTTTTTTTATGTATTCCATTTTGCCCAGTCCTGCAGCAGCACCTTGGTTTGGTGTTTATTCCATGTAGCAGAAAATATCTCTCACAGAAATGCAAAGGCAGCCTGACAGCAAGCTTCTCTTCGGGCTGTTGACATCATCCTCCTCTCTGAGCTCTAATTCAACTTTCAACACAATGCCTAAAACCGCACAGCATCTGAGCACAAAAGATGAACACGAGAGTACACTTGTGCATTCTGTTGCCCTGTAAGCAAATTGCCTTGTGAATGAGGAATCAGTCAAATAATGGGTTTGTTAGTCTGCATTTTGATTAGCTAAGATAAAGTGCAAAAGTGGGGTTTTTTTGGAGTAGCATAGACATCAGCACATCCTGCTCAGCATCTCTCACATGAAAAGACAACATGCAGCTATTTCATGTGTCATAACTACTCTTTTGAAAAAAAAAAAAGAGGAAGGTAGGATTTTTTAACTTCACTGATAGTCCAAAACAGAGTGGCACTTTGCAAAGTGCATATATATCTCATAAATTGTATCTCCTGCTTTCAGCTCTCTCTTTATATTTACATGGACTTTACTGGGAAGAAGAGAAGAATGTCACTGCTTTCATGTAATGGATAAAGAAAATTAATTCTCTGGGCGTGTGCATACGACATTTATGGAGTGCATATTGCTTTCTCTGCTCACCATGACAAGAAACAAGTGCATGCACACAGAGAACTCCTGCAGATTGGATAATGTGCTGTGAATTACCTCTCGGTGCTACCTTGTTCATGCAGTCATACATGTAATGGACTGCATCCAAATTCTCTTCCAATAAGGAACAACTGAATTGCTGCTTGCTGCAGAATAAGGAGCAATTGCATTTCTGAATGCTCCAAACTCTTTGAGCTTTTGTTTTGAGCTCCACATTTCAGCAGCTGGAAGTTGATAGAAGAAAGGAGGGAAAAGGCATCCATATTTTTATAGCTTTCCATTCCAAGATAAATAGCTTGGATGAGAGAAGAAGGAACATAAGTGAATCACAGAGACAATCTGTTCTTTCTACTGGTGGGGTTAGGAGGTTAAAAGATTTTTACAAATAAACATTTTTTAAAAAGGCAAGTATTAGCTTATTTGTTTGACAGAAGGCTGCAATTATGCTCTGCTCTGTACCACACAAAATACTAAAATATGGAAATGTGAGGTTATCTATCCTTCTCTTGTAGAACCAGTACATTCTCTTCCTATCTTGATGTCTCATCTGGTACATTACTCAAATTTAAGCCAAAGTATTCCACCACTTGAGATAGCACATAAACAAAAATAATGTGAAGAAATTAATAATAAACACATTACAAAAAACTGCTTCTCGGCCTTCTAAAGTCTTGCTTTCTTTGCTTTGCCAAGGTGAAGAGCCCATCAAACCTGCTTGAACCCAGCTTCCTCTCTGGGACACAATCTAAAGGTAGACCTATGTCTTCCACAAGCAGCTCATAGTCATCCTTAACACATTTTCTGCAGTGCTAGATTCATGGCCTATGCTGTAAAGTCACAATCTGTTTTATACTGATTTTGAATTTCCCTCATTCTGACAGAAAGACAATTTTTGGTGTTGGCACATATGGTGAATCAGCTTTAGGGCTGTTACAGCATGTAATGGTTGGTGACAGCCTCTGAGACACTGGTATGTCAGGCCAAAGACAGCTGCTTGGTAGCAGTCCTGGACACATTCACTCTTTCACTGACTTCACATGCTCTGTAGTTATGACATGGACAGCAGAAAGTGGTTTCATAAAATCTGTGCCTGTAGGGGACTTTGCATTTCATAGAAATATCCATATAAACACCAGATCTTTACTCCACAGTGATAGAACAGGGAAAAGATCTTAGCTGGTTAGGGTAATTTGTTTTAAATAGAGTATGTAAAAGCCTAACCTTTCTCTCTGACTTTTAAAATGTGGTTGATTTTTTCACTGCAGTTGACCTCAGAGATTCACCCCTATACGTACTGTAATTTGAATGAGAAATATGTTGCTCTCAAGACTGAGCCTAAGTAGAACTCTGATAAACAAATCTTTGTAAAACCCACTGTGCTGCTGTGTTTAAGAGGGCCAGAAGCTAGCTATTAGTTTTTTTGTGGTTTGTTTGTTTTGTTCTCTTTTAACAGACTTTTTTAGAGTACAGCATGCTGAAAAAATAGGAACAAGGCTCCCCAACAGATACCAGTTGTATCTGAATTCTTCCTTTTGCCAGGCACACAAGCCACACAATCGTTACAGCCATCAGCACGAAACACATCATGTTAAATCCCTCATTTCTTTAGCATAATATGAAGTCTCTCTTTCTCTCATATTACCATTCTGGTCTGTCAGGTATGTGAGGTTTTTCAAGGCAACAGGTGTTTTTTGAAATAAAATACAACCTTCCTTCAGCTCATTATGTGAAAGAGACAGCAGCTGCAAGTATAATGCTGAGGACACATGGTCTATAGGACACCCAGAAGAAAAATACTCTTTGTTCCACTTGTTAAGGTAAAGCACAGATGTTGCTTCAGTGATAAGCATGAGCATAAGGCAACCACAGTCATAAATGTAGAATCTAAGATTTCAGAATATTTAGTAGGCTGCAGTCAGAATCACAAGTTTCTTTATGTAAAGAAAGCTAACGCACAGCTTGCATTACACTATCAACAGCAATATGCTAGGGACTGTCCAAAGACTTGACTGACAAATTATTAATAATCTTTTATATGGACTCAGTTATGAGTATGAAATAATGCCAAATGCATAAATTAATACACTTACTGATTTAATGATTTAAACATTTACAGATAGTGTGTATTGAAACACTATTAAAAAGGGTTTAACAATTTAGAATGCTAAATGCAATCTCTTTCCCTGCTTAGTATTGGTCGTAAGACTATTTTTGTACCACTTAGACCTAAACTGTTGAGAAATCAACTGCAAAATAATGATATCTAATGAATGTAAAAACCAAGCTAGAATCAGTCCTTTCCAGGGAGCAATCCTCTGTTCAGTTAGGTTCATAATTATTCCTCCAACCCTCATTTATTTATTTTCCCCTAGTCTCTCTGAAGAACAAAGTACATATATTGTAGCTTACAGTATAATCATCTAGGCTTTTTCAAATAAAAAGAGAGTGCAGCATCTCCTTGGAAAACAAAGATTATCTAGGATTGCCAGGTCTCCTTACTCCCTCCTATTTTCTAGGCCTAACTAGGTCAGAAACTCTGTCCTACAAACCAGAACATGTAACACCACAGAAAAAACACAGATCACAAAATAATCGTCATCGTTCTCTGTAAGTAGACTGGTTGCTTTGGTTGTCCTGAAGATTATTTGTGTTGGCCGTGCAACATGAATCTCTAGCTTGTAGGACTGCATGTTTTTCTGGCTACAGTGTTGTTATGTAGAGCAGCAGCAGCAATCAACTGGGAACCATAGACACAGAGGAAGACCTGATGGCATGGATCTACTAGAGAAGTCAAAAGCTTCATGCTCCTTCAGATCCAGTTTGCACTGACCCCAGCTCTCTTGTGTGTGGGATGTTTTTTTGTTTTTTGCAAAATCTGTATTGGTAAGCTGTTGGTAAGATGAGTCCATCCCTTGTCAATTCTATCACCACCCATTTTAGGGAAGACCAGCTTAGAAAAATAAAATGACACAAACAAGTTCTGATCAAAAGGTTAAGATTATAAGGTTAGAAAGTATTGTCATCATGAAAATTATACCATAGTAATTCCTTGCTAAAATTTATGTTTTTAACAAAAGGTCATTTGAATGGCTGAATAATTTTTAGTTTGCTACATTGTTACAAATGAAAGAGACATGAGTAATAAAAACAAACAACCAGAACAAAATCTCTATATTAATTGGAACAATGATACACATACCTAGAAAACAACCACAGGAAGTTATAATTGCTTGGGCCCACCTGTTGTTCGCTACTAAATTCTTAGCACACGTTCTTAACTGTGTTCCCATCCTGCAAAGAGCACAGCAGCCAACAAAACTATTCAAATTGCTTGTGACTGAGAATATTTATATATTTTGCATTCTATGGTGTTCAACTTTGGTGCTGTGGAAGGCAAGCAATCTCTTCTTATGAATCCATACAACCTTGTGCCCTTCCTGAACCAAGTGTACTCAGTGTGTTATGCCTGCTATCTCTACTACAGGAATTAATCTCTATCTCTACTACAAGAATTAATAACTTAAGAGTTTGTTCTGCTATTACACTCCTCTACTCAGAAATCAAGGCTGATCACACAGATTGTAAGACTTGTACACTTCCATCATCTCCAAATCTGAGTAAATACTTACATGTGTCTTCACATCACCTTCGAGAATCTTGCTGTACCTGAGAAACTCAGCAACACTTCCATTCAGCAGCCTATCAAAGGCTTCCACATATGGTGCTATGCCTGTAGAGGAAGAACATTTGATTATAATGGGTTCATAAAGTATATAATGCATAGGACATGTGTAGCAGATGGAGGAGGTGCATCATAGAAAATCAGGAGATTGCTGTAACTTAATTTCTGATTTATTAAATCAGTGGAAAAGGATGTAAAATTATTTTTGTCCTAGATAGAAAGAGGAGAAAAAAATCCTGCTCTTGCTAGAACTTGAATAGGAACCTGTAAGAGAATTTCCTGTGTATAATGTAATGGGAAGCCTCTTTTGTCTTAACACATGCTAAAACAAACATCTCTCAGCCCTTCAAAGGAGTGACCTGAAAAGTCTACTTCTCTTAACAAATTTCCCCTATCGTACTTTAACCAAATACTATCTCCTAAAAAGAACCTGCATCGTACTTAACAACTATTTTTATAATACTCCATTCCTGAAGATCTCTGTGATGTTTGGTGGCTTTTAATAGCAACCAATTCCATTTCCAGTAAGAGAGTCTTTGGAATAGGTTGACAGTAGATTTATGCAGTGAGATACAGCTTTGTAATCTCCTCATTTTGTTGTCTCACCTTGTGTGAAACTGTCACCAGATAAAGAAAGCTCAAACAAGTCTTCCAGACTACATACCCCATTGACTATATATATGCTATACATTACAAAAGAGGAATAAGCTGCTATTTTCTATATAGTACACAGAGCAGTTTCCTGATTAAGTGAACAATCAGAAAATGCAGATCGGCATCAGTTGCTTAAGTACCTGGCTTCTACATGGCACTATGTGGTACCGGCTAAGATAGCAAAAATAATCTTTCCTTGGATGCTTTCCAACCCTCCCTTTACTCCCTCATGTCTTGTCTATGCCTCAGAACCTTTGCCAGATCCAGCATGAATGACACACACATGAATCTATGATATATGTAGGATATGAGAGAACAAGGCAAAAATTCTTCCCTGCCTCTCTCCCTCATTAATAAAGCCTGAGGATTGCTCTGAAGAGGTACCAGGCTTTCCCCAGAGAATTTGCTTTAACATTTTGTCACTATATAACAATTGTGTCCAAATTCATAGTCATGAAAGCCCTCTTTATTCCACAAGAGTCATCTGGCTCTGTGACAGAATAAAAGACAGGCTCTGGCAACTGGAGTTTGCAGTGGCCTGTGTGGAAAAGAAAATGTAGTTAGTCAGCTAGGTGGGATTTCAAGGGTCCTATTCTTCTCTTGATGCCATTCACCTATAATTCTGAGGAATTTCTGGGCTTTCTTCCATAATGAGTTTGTGTGTAAACCCCTCAAATGACCTAATGCACAAAAGGTTTTAGCTGTGGAGACGCTTTCCAAAGCCTATGTATGTTCTTTTTCAAAATCTGTGTGTTTCCAAAAGAATCATTGTAACGTTTTCCTTTTAGAGCAGAGTTTTACATAACAGTTCACCAAATTCTCCTATGCAGAGCTAGAAAGCAACTATGCTATTTTTTTCTATTCAATGCAGCTCACTCCCAGGAGCATTTACTAGAATTTGCTGTGGGCTGTGCACAGCAACGGAATGATTTATTTGTAATTCTGCTATTGTAATGCCATTTAGGAAAACAGTAAAGGTACAGATCTCCCATCCTGTTTCTGAAAATGTATTAATTGAAAAGCCAAGGTTACTTTTTTTTCTTTTTTTAAGTCTAATTATGGAATGGTCTTTCAGGGGATGGAGGTCATGGTTGAAGAAAGAAATATACCTCCATTTCAACTGGAGATTTTAAAAAGGTCCCACTCTGGCTTGAGTGTCAGTTTTGAAGGAGAAAAAGAAAGAAGAGACCTGTTAGACTGTTTCCTTTGCAGTGGCTATGGCGAGTACGTGAACCTCTGCAGAGGCACAGTGACACTGGCACACACAGTGGTGTTTGGGGCTCTGTAGACATACCAGTCACACAAACTGAAGACCTCCCCAACTGCACCAACAAAAGCTAATTCCTGAGTCCTTGTGTGAGACAGCTCTGCCTGGAGATGCCATGCAGCCTGGCAAGAACCCCGTGGTGCTGCTCATCTCAGCTTCTTACTGCAGTCTCCCAGTGGGTGTGTTTTATAATCACACTTCAACAAGGCTTCTCAGTTGGTTTCTTCTAGGGATCTGTTGGGGCGTTCAGACTCTGGTTCCCTGCGGGGTGAATCTTTTCACCTGACTGAGCTCTTAGGTCAGGTCAAGAATATAAGCAGTTTTCATGGAAGTACTTGGCATGGTGAGTTATGTTGTTTCTGAAAGCAGCCCTGGTTCTGCAATATTATGCTCTGGATAAATACAGATTCACCTAAATGGACTCATTAGATGACTGAATTATTTGAGAATTGCACAATTCCTATGGTTATTGATTTGTCAGCTTGTACATGGATTGTATTTCTCCCCAACTTTGCTGCAGTTTGCTAGCTGCCTAGGTTTTCTCTGGACTCCAAGCACTTTTTTACTGAAGCTTTCTGTGACTGGAACTCATCTGCCATGGAAGCCTGCTGGAAGATGCTCCTTTCCTGCCACAGAAACACACTGCTCTCAGTCAGCTGCTCCACAGCAGCTGCCAGTGTGCAGGCCCAGGACACACAAGAGTGCAGGGAATGTTCCTCACATGTGTCGGCTGGCATAGGGGACAATACAGCATCTCACACGCTCCACTTGTTGCTGTGGCAGTAAAGGAAGCTGCCTGCAACTTTCCATGTGTACTGCAGCTTCTGTACAGCAGCAGAGTCCCTGCTGGGATGTGCTCTTCTCTGGAGAATGCAAGAAAGAGCAAGGAATACAGAAAGCAAAGAACATGAAGCTAATAAAGAGACAAATGTTGGGGTTCTGTATAAAAAAAGTTTTGAAGAAAGGAAAGAACACTTTTATTCCATCATATTTTGAAGTATCACATATGTAAAGTTATTTAGCCTATAACTTTCAGGTACCACAAAAATTAAGGCATGAAAAATGTGATTTGATGATATGATATGATTGATATGATATGATATGATATGATATGATATGATATGATATGAATAGACAAAGAATAGGCTTATTTTTTGTATTTTCTCCATTGTAGTGCTTTGGAGAACCACTTGAGAACAGAGAGCTCAAGAGTTAACAGTGTAAGGCCACGGATGTATAGCAGTCTTTAGTAAGCAAATGCTTCCAAATAAACTCATGTTTGATTAAGAATGTTAAAGAAATTAAGTCGGTCTGTACCATGAAATTCATAGAGCGCTGCCAAATCAGCAGTGTTTATATTGGTGACTTCTATAGGAATATTTATGCTGTACATTTAGGGGATGTCTCATTTCTTCTGCTAATTGGGCTCAAGCAGACGTTTCCACCTGGGGAGTTATACAATAACAATATATAATAATATAAGTTGTAAATATAACTGCTAAAATGGAAAGATTAATGAAGCTTGAGACATGAACAGTACAGTTAAGAAACAGTAAAATAATGAATTTTCTAGGCCATATTAGTTTAGAACTGTGCATGCTACTAAGCTTGTCATATGGCACTTCTAAATAAATTTTTTAAAATATTACTTAATTTTGATACAGAATTTTTAAGTGGTGGGATCCCATTCCCTCTTAGAAGACATATACATTATTTGCAATTTTTTAATAACAGATGGTACTTAAAAATAACCTACTTACTTCCATTGACTCCATTGATGCCATCACACTCCATTCCACCAGAACTGTGTGAATCTGAAAACAATGATTCAAGTCGAGTCACCGCTTTCTCCAATCTCTCCATTAAGCCATGAGTCTCTGCCATTCTGCAAAATATCATTATGAATAGAAACAGTGTTAGAATCCTCTCAGTAAAGTCCTTGCTTCATGTTGCAGTTCTGTTCATCTTGTGACTTTTTCTTTCATGGTAAAACTCATTTTTTAAGCACTGTCTTTCTGGCACATAATCAGTTGCAGTGAAGCAGCTGACAAAGGGTAACTTACTTCTTTGTCAGCAGGGAATCAGATCAGTACTCAGCTCTGGTTCTTCCTTCAAAGTAGCAGGTCCCTACCACTGCTAGTGTAGCTTTTAACAATCTGCATGTAAACAACTCATGACAAAATGCAGATATATGCTCCCAATCAGATACTGAGATGACTGGAATGGTCATAGAAGTAATTGGTAAAATCTTATGCCTACAATGATTTGAGTTAGCATTTACAGAAAGTAAAATACAGACCAAATTAATACTCTCTGATTTTTGAAACGGTTCATTCTGAAATGTACCTCTGTCTTTCATACTTTGTAGTAGGACCCAGTCACTTGACTAAAGACTACACAAAAATCCAAGAAGGTCTTCTGTTTATTTTTCTTATATGATTCACCATCACTTTTTTTCTTACAGAAGTACCCGACATAAACCATAGTTTCCCAAGCTTTTAAAATCAAATGCTAATTAACATTTGGATAGGAAAAAAAAAAAAATAAAAATCCAGAGGCCTGCTTGTGCAGTACTGCTGCAGTGCTTTTGATTTGAGATTAAATAGAAATGAGGTCACATTTTTAACAACTCACACATTGCCTTCTTTCCTCACAATGTGATTATCTCCTCTCTTACATATGAGGCAGTGTAGGCATTGACATTTTTGAATATTGGCCAATCTCTTGGGAAAAAAGTGCTATATACCATGCAGAGTGAGAAAAGAGTTATATAAGCAAAGCAAAGCTATGTTTAAATCCCCTGTCATTTAACAGAGGAAGTTTAATGTACATGTTCCCCACTTAAGGTTGTGAGTGTTTGATCCTGATAAGTGACATTCAGCAAGGGGTGTACATGATGATCATGGCTCTTGATTAACACCATCCCTGTGGCCAGTTCCAGCCCAGCCCCCACACTAGGCTGCATCCCCTGCCCAGCACAGGATGTGCAAAAGCAGGAGCAACAGGGCAATGCACATCCCAGCTGGGGCAAGCAGGGAGTCAGAGGCTCTCTAGGGCCATCATCCTGTGGTGTTCTTCCACAAGACATTGATCCCTTTATGGCTCAGAGACTAGAACGGTTAGGCAGACATGGAACAAAAGTGTAAATGTATTAGCTCCTAAAGAACAGCCTACTAGTATTGCAGAGATATTAAAAGTAACAGCAGATTCCAGTAAACTGCACCACTATGCAACACTCAGCAACCAAACCAAACATTTGGTGCTTCACTGTCTCCACAGCAGTACAGAATGCCTAAATGTTATAATTAATAAGCAAAGTACCATGGAAATAAATGTTTTCAGCTACAAACAAGTACTACTAATTCTTATTAATAAAATATAATAATATTTTTCTTCTAAAAATTTAAGCATGAGAGGAAATTAGCTACTAGGACTGTGGAAACACGTGCAAAGCTCTTGTGCTCTGAGTCATGCTGGCTTTCAAACAAGGTGGGACCTTCAGACTTTACTCTATAAATGTCAGGAGGTTTGTGTTTGACCTAAAAGTGAAGCAGAAGATTTTACAGTATGAAACCCTTGAGAGAACCATTCTTGTGAGAAAGTTTTGTCTGGAATTTATGCAGTTTTCCTATTTATATTAAATAAAAAATCAAACGCTCAAAAGAGGACGACATTAGACAGCATGCATACAAAGTGTAAAAACTCAGAGGGGCTCTCTTGTCTTATCACAGAATGGGTCAGGTTGGAAGGGACCTCAGAAAGGTCATCTGGTCCAACCTTCCCACTCAAGCAGTCATCCCAGAGCACATGGCACAGGGTTGCATCCAGACGGTTCCTGAATATCACCAGTGAAGGAGATTCCACAACTCCTTTGGGCAACCAGTTCCAGTGCTTGGTCACCTGCACAGTAAAGAAGTTCTTCTTTATATTCAGGTGGAACTTCTGGGCATCAGCTGCTGCCCATTGCCTCTTGAGCTATTGCTGGGCACCACTGAGAAGAGCCTGGATCTGTCCTCTTGGCACCGTCCCTTCAGATACTGAGAGACATTGGTGAGGTGCCCCCTCAGTTGCCTCTTCTTGAGACTGAACAGGCCCAGCTCCCTCAGCCTTTCCTCGTGGAAGAGATGCTCCAGTTGCTTGGTGAAAGAGATGCTCCAGTTGCTTGGTCAGCTTTGCATCTCTCCACTGGACCTGCTCCAGGAGCTCCATGTCTCCCTTGTGCTGAGGAGCCCAAAACTGGACACAGCACTCCAGGTGTGACTTCACCAGGGCTGAGCAGAGCGGTAGGATCACTCTCTTGACCCACTGGCAATGTATTTTCTTTATACTGCAAAATGCACTATTCTGTTTGAAAAATCAATTCACTTAGAAAAAACACATCTTAAATTTTTTGTAGTTACAAATATCTTGGCAGGAATGAGATTAATGTATCAGGGGAGCTTCTGAAATATTCAAACTTCTTTGAGAATATTAAAACTTTTCTTAAAACAAAGTACTATTAATCCTAAAAAAGATTATATATTCTTTTCACATTTTACCCTACTACATAAAAGCCTAAAATGCTGTCTATTTTAAAAGTTCTGTTTTCAACCACTCTAAAGTCTGGATGGTGTAATAAAGTATACTAATATATAACACAGCATAGAGTCAACTAATTTCATCAGTATTTTAAAATATATTTTTAGTATAGTACCTATTTTTCTTTATGTGATGATACAGTCTAGTAGACTGGGCTTTTTTTCATTTGCCTTAAAATTTTCCTTGATGATGTCATCAAATGTCACAAAAATTGTGCACAAACTTCCATGGAAGACCTGTTACTTTTTGGCTTCTTCAGACTGATTTTGCCTGTGAAGGAATCCAATTGTTTGATTACAAACTGAATAATTTGAGTGCAGACACCAGGAGGTCTGAGGAGTCTCACAAATTAGCAGACTTAAACACTACTCAATAAATGACTTTCTGTAAGACACTAAGAATACACATTACAGTGTCAGAAGTTCAGGGGAATAACCCAGCTCAAATACCTGAAGGATCTTTTTATGCAATACTTTCCTGCTACAACATAGTCTTTTACTCACTATATTCTTCACTGTTTTATTCTAGTCCCATTAACTGGAGAACTACAATGTTATTCTTCCAAAAGCAGGCATCACCAGCAATCATAGAAGAATATATTGTTAGAGTCTTTAAACAGAAGTAGAAACCATTTTTACCCTAATATTAGGGATGTCAGCTTGTTATTCTTTTTATATAGAATATTACACTTAATAATCATCATGTTTACACTATGTCTATCTACCTTTTTATCTGTACATTTATATGACCCCGGAGTACACCGTATTTGCATCTATTTATATACATATATGTACATGCTATTTATATACATATATGTACATGCACATTATGCACATAAGAATACAGATATGCCTGTCATGTATGAATAAAATGCAAAAACACTTTTGTGATTAGTGTCCATAACACTAAAAAAGCAAGCAGTTGTACATATACTAATCTTGCACCTCGCTTTACCATTAAATGACAGTATTATCTACCTTACAAACAACACAGGAATTAAAAGTTACTGTTCTAAACATTCACTGAACAATAGCATGAAAAGTCTCTTCATCCATTCTCAATCTAAACACTGACATCTTTGCCTGTATATTGGGATTTACATATTTGGTTCATGTTATGACACAGTTCAGTGTTTTCTTGGCCTACATTCAGCTGTTTGTCTGATTGCTTATTCCACACTGCACTCTGCATGGTCAGAGATACCACAAAGCCACAGCTCAAAAGGAATCAGAACACAAATGGCACAGCTTGACTCTGTGAAGGTACTATCTTCCACGGTACAGCACCAGAGCTTATATTATAAATAAATAATAAGATTGGTCTACTTACAGTGTCAAATTAAATCTCTGCACATTAAAGAAAAGAGGATGTAAATAGATCTATGGCATGCTTCCACTCTCATAAAGCATGTTTTTACATCAAGACAGACTCTCTAGCTCATCTGTCAGGATTTTAATTAAGGATTTGATCTTGAAGTGATTTATCAGGGTTAACCATGTATCTTTTCCCAAAGTTGTGCTGACCACCTATAAAGAGTTAAAAATAACAATGCTTCAACTCTCATGTAATCCTTATCCAGCTGCTCTCCTGGTGAAGAACACTGCCCTTCACTGAAAATAAGGTCACCTAAGAGTCAGGAAAGGTGTTAACACACATCTACTGACAAAACGTTTAAGCACTAACATTGGTAACTGTCTCTTGGGCACAAAATTAAGACAGATGATCCAAGCTCTGCCCTGTTTACTGTTAGTGGTATCTTTTTTGGGAGTGCTAAAGGCATGTGGTAGTACTACCATCTGTCATTTCTTTCACAAAAGAAGTAAAGCCAGGTAGAACAAAGCATGCTGAAACTCAAAGAGTGAATTTCTTCTTATAGACAGGCCTTGGGAGATCACTGCTTTCCTCCCCAGATGTCTCAAAGCACCATTTATCTATTATCAAGGGAAAAAAACTTGGCTGTAGACTAGAATTTCCTGATATACTGATCCCAAACAGCAAACTCTAAGTCAAAACACACACATACTACTCCTGTTACTATTGTATATGACTTACAACAGAGGACAATATTGCTCCATCCTCAAGAAGAAACAAGTTGTAATAAATGCACAGGGAAAGGCTGTACAGTATCATAAGGGGGGGGGGAAACCATATGATGACGTATCAGGCATGCAAAAATGGGGTTTTGAACAAAGGAATGGTGCTACCTTGTAAAGTATGAAATGATTCTCACAAACACCAGCAAGAAATAGAGTACAAAGTTCCACAGTTTGTTTTACTTCCTAGCACTCATTTAATTTGGAAATAAATGACCTGTTAATTAATTTGATTTCCTCCCCTGCCCCCACTCAGTACCAGTTCTTCCAAATTCATCTAGCATCTGAAAATTCATGCCAGGTCTCACTCATGCACATCATCTGATATCCGACATGTCAGATTTGGATTTCCTCAATATGCCAAAAAAGGGCAGATGCCTAAACCAGAATATAGGCAGTAATGTGGCATTTTAATTGTATTTACCATAGTTGCACTGCCTTGGAAGTGGAAAATCACACCATCCTTGCACATGTTCTTTCTCTCTTAATCTTTTAATAAATTGCTACTAAGATATGACATAAAATACACAAACCCCCAGATTGCCAGCCTGCACCATCAGAGAGACAGTCAGGAACATTTTATAGATCCAAAGCACTGTGTCCTCTGAGAGTTCCTCTGTGCAATTTATGTCAACATACATGAAGGGAAGAGAAATGCATTCCTGAATATCCCCTCAAATTACAAAAGCATCTTACAGCACTTCATTGCTGACAAAAAAACACACAGCCTGGGTCTGAAATGGCTCTTTTTCCTATATCATCATTCAAACACCTACAAATCCAAGCTGTTAGAAGCAGGCAGACTCTTTGCCACCTTTGGCAAGGGACTCAAATTGCTGCTGCACCCAGTTCTTGTTCAGACAATAATAACCCACTGGCTTGGGATCTCAGGAGTTGCTCATTCCCAGACAGAGCTTGGAAGCAACTCAGTACTGGCTGAGTGGTAAAGAGGAGCACTTGCAATTTTTTGGGTTGGGTTGAAAGTTTCTGGGCAGATAATGCAAAGGGAACAGTGGTCAGAAGAAAGCATGTGTTGGTAGACCAATAGGAACATTACCTTGTATGGTTTGTGTTTTGTTTTCCATTAGCTGTAGGGGAGGAATGTAAACAGAGTCTTCTCAAACTGATGTCAATTTGGATAAAACCAGAAGACCTCTCAGTAAGGCCCTGTGTGAGAAGAATGATTCGAGTTTCAAATCAAAGCCTTTTTTATTGTTTTGCCCCTAGATCTATTACAAGCTCATTTGGGAGCAATTAATTCTTAAGTATAGAGAATGATTTAATTTTTAAACTTAGTTAAAATAGTTCATTTTGTATATCAAACAGGATTAGAATCTTGACCTTTTTTTGTTAAGATAGACAGTTATACCTGAAATAGCAAAAAGACAGAAATGTCTGCATGACTTCTGCTTTTTGTGGATGGATGTGCCATTTTGACTACTATGTTGATCTGAAGTCTTGGCTGACTCTAGTGTACTCATCATAAAATATTTCTCTCTGTAGCTCACTGTGTGTGTGAAACCCACTGTTATGCTATGAATGAGTTCCTTATGGCTGTGCATAAGAGCATGCTACATCAATTATCTTGTATGTGGACTTCTTTCTTTGGCATAAACTCTGTGTTTTTAAAGAACTACTTTTTATAAGCAAAAAAACATTTGCATAGAAGAAGTAAAAGCAGGTTCATGTTAAACCTCTTCCATTTAACCCAAGCGTTTTCCTTTGTCTGGCCGTATGCTGTCGGTACCACAAAGCATAATTTTCTGTTTGCACTCTGGCTCCTCCTCTGCTTCTCTCCCTCTCCTAGTGATCCGGCTGCTGTCTACAAAAACATGTTGAAAAAGAATAGAGCCCTTTTTTCATCCCATTGTTCTGAAAAATTGTAAAACTTGCATCATAAAACAATCACTGTTTTGACAAATACCTCTAAAACTGTTGATGCATTTTAGATTTCTTATCACATCCCAGTTTAGTCCCAAAATATGGGTGAGTAACTGCACGTATCAAGCTACATGCCTACAAGTCAACATAATAATAACATGGACTGCAGTTAGGCCTCTGATAATTTAATATGAATTCTTTAAAATATGGCATGTGTTTATGTATGTGCTTAGTATCTCCTTGAGTATCAGTTCACTTTCTAATTATTGGGAAATTCTGTGAAGAGCTTCTATCCCTTTCTGAATAATTCTGTCATGAATTTTGTGATCACAAAGAGTGAGTTAATTATTTCATGATATACCGAACAGTCAAGACTGCCTGACAGTTTGTGTAAGCGTGATTGACTTAAAATAACCAAGGCAACCCAGCTTCTAAATACATTCTCCTATTCCTTTTATGCACACTTTTCATGTCACCACTGCTCATAGTCTTTTGTCTTGGTTTTATTTTCTTCTCTCCCTCCAATGAAGTGTATGAGTTTTTGTATCTGTCCAATCATCAGAAATGCAGCGTTCTTAGCCACCTCATTTACTATGTATTAGTGTCAGGCTCTTCATGTATTCAAGCATCCTAAAGGCCTTACAAGCTATTTAATTACCTGTCACAAGTCCAATTACTGTATATAAGCAGACTGCCTTGCTGAACCGAGAAAATACTATATGTAGGCATTGATTTTATTCAAGTGCTTCAGTTCAGCTCATCATAACTAAACAGTAAGATCCTTTATGCCATGGTTCCAAACAAATTGAATTTGAACTCTCTGAAAGGGTAAATTCCACCAAGTACAAATGTTTCAGTATTTCTGGGATGTGAAAGGAGAAAAAAAGGAGGAAGTTAAAACTAAGTGAAAGGTATTGCAAGCTCTAAAAACAGAAATTGTGAACTTACTTCTGAAGAAAAGACAAGATTAGATTTATTCAGTACCAAGGTTTGTAACAGTTTTGTTTGCTGTGCTGGTGGCCTTTCACAAAGCTTCCACACCCTACTTCTCATGCATATCCATCAATATTATGTTGAAGCCTGAATAGTTTGGCTTGATTTCATCCAAGTTTGCAAGTGTTCCTGTTCTCACCAGAACATCCTGCTGCAATCTGTGTCTGATGGTCTCAGGCTTATCATGGCTGCTCCACTCAGACTGTAGCCAATGGCTCTTCCTCCAGCATAGCAGCAGCCAGAAGGGCTTATCAAACTTTTTGCCATATGAGTCCTTCCTCTGCCCTACAACTCAACTGGGATCTTTAATGGTCACAAAAAACTTAAGGTCTTCATGAATCTCCCATTCTAAAACTCATCACACTGATTCTGCAATACTGCTGGCATTGCAATTTGTGCCTTTGCTTCTGATTCAGGATGAAATGGGCCAGCTGCTACTAAAAAAGACCTTTCTATTTCCTGATATAACCCTGGTACTACTTAAGAGGTCCTAAACTCTAATGATAATCCATGCAACCTGCTCACATACAAGATCTCAGACATTTAACTATTTATCCCTCCTCTATTTCAGTGTGAGGTCTTGTGAAACCCAGAGAAATCAAACAGGACCTACCCTAGGGGCTGGTAAAAGTCAGCCTTTTTGAGGATGGCTGTTGCTTTAGAGGACCCAGAGCTGCTAGGTGAATTAGTCTGCTGTTTCTAGACAATGACAGATTACACACAGAAATGTAAATGATTCTTTGCATTCCTTCCAAAGAGCAATCAATTAAATATTTAAACAATTACAAAACATAGCCTAAAGCTTAGATCTGAGCAGATCTTCTTGGACAAATGTGCCACTATTTAATTATGTAATTGAGCATTTCCCTGTTTCATTTTTCTATATAGCCCACAAAAGCATTAAGGCTTTAATTCCCAGCATATTACTACTGGTATTTGGACTTCTACAAGCAACCTCTTTGGCTTGCTGTTCCCTGAAAAACTGTGGGTCAGACAAAGCAATTCCCATTAGCATATACTCAGGAAAGTAGTCTTAATGGGACCTTTTAAATAACAAAAAGTCCCTGAAACTGACAGTCAGATTACCTTAAGAACACAGGTGAAATTAAGACAGCAGTAGGCAGTATGTGTGTAGACTGTAGTGGTGTCAATGCCACAAAGTCTTGCTAAATGGTGACAGAGGTCACACAAATCTAAGAAGCCCCAAACCAAACTCCCTACTCTTGATGAAGCATCTGAATCAGCATAATCATTGCCACAGATGCAGCTGTGCTTTTGCATGCTTTTGTCACTTCAGCATACAGCGCTTAGCAAAGGTGTTGCTATTCTGGTATAGTTGATAGCAGTGACATTCTGAAGAAGAGCTGAATCTTTAGAGTTTGAAGTATTTTGTATTATGTAAGCAACTGGAGTGGATTCTGTACCACATAAAAATAAGTTCCCGTTTGTCCTCCCTAATGCAAAAGATGCACTTGAAGTTTTAGAAAAAGGAATTAAAATTATTTATGTGTATCAGAGGCACTTTATCAGGCAAAATCCTTTATCCAGTTCATAAAAGCATAGGAATAACTACAAAAATGTATGCCTTATCTATCATAGGTGTTTCTTTGGTTTTGCCTCAATAAGCACAGAATGTTCTCTTTCATGTAGTCAGATGTTCCAGTAGGCAGCAACTGCAGCTGCTGAGTTTGCTGCTGTTGCACGTGATGTTAGAACTCGTGCAGAACCACTAAGAATATTCTTTAACATATTTGGCAGTTCACAATTTCTCTCCATAGAGTTCAAACCAATTGCAACTTTATTGCACTGACAGGCCACAGATTAAAGCCTAGATCATGTAATTTTGTTCAGGTGATATTGCAAGTCAACATCGAGGCTGAGAGCTGAATACAAGTTGCTTGGTTTCCAGCCCTCCCTACTCACTCTATTTTTCCAGTACCTGCTAATTCAAATTACTATGAATGTTGGACCTGAGTGAATTTTAATAACTTTTTTTAGCTTAGGGTGCCCAATGTATTTTGCATGGTTAATAAAAATTATACAGTGGGATCAGAATATCTAATGATGGGAGAGAATTTAATATATGTAATCTTAGTACCCTTGCTCCTTATGGTATACTAAGAAGCACTTTCCTCCACTGAATGAGAGCCACAGCTGACAAAGAATAATGAAAACATCAGAGGTTAGTTCTACCGTAATAGTAAATAATGCACATCCTCTTCATTTTTATTTAATTGAGGAAACATATTTTATTCATTAAGTTTGGAGTTGTGCCTTTCCACCTTCCACATCTGAACAGCATTCAAGGGGAAAGACACAAAGGAATCATAGGAGTATTCAGAAGACTTGAATTTTTGTTAAGCCCAAGACCAAAAAGACCATATTGTTGTATGTGCCTGGCTTTGTTACAGAAGGTAGATTGCCTTTGTTCCTGTACAACCTTGCTCAAAATAGAGCCAGTGTTATGAAATCCTGGTACTGAAAATGCATAAAAGCAGAAAAAAGTTAACTATCATTTGCATAAGTAAATAAAAGGAAGTGCTGTGATAAAAGTTGCACAAAAAATAAGAGTATCTGACTCACAGTAATGTCTTAAAAGGCCAGATTTGAGAGTACTGTATTAAGTTCCAAGTCATTCCATCAACCACTTTACTATTCTAAATAATTTTTCAAGGTCATTTCTGAAGTAGGAGTTCACTGATTGCAATTTCACAAAACAATGAAACATGGTAGTCCATAAACCACTGTCACTTTTGCTTAGAAACAAATTTATAAAATCTGCAGGTTTATCCCACTCAGATCCCCCGCTAAACAGATCCCTTCCAACTATTTTCTAATGGACTGGCCTCTGTGAAGCGTTTTTTTTCTGACATTTTCCATCACTCAGAAACAAACACATTTAGGTAAGCTGTATAAAGAAAGCTTTCTTCCCCAGATGGTCTTTGTTTTTAAGACTCCCCCTACATATTACAAAATCTGAATTCTACTTAATAAAAATCCTCACTATTGATGCTGTAATGCCAAGACACAAATCTACAGGAATCCTCAAAGCAAAGGACAGATTGCACATTTTCAGGTGAGGTCACAAGTTCTTCTCGGCTTTGGGGGAGCACTGCTGATGTCAAGTTACTGCAAAATGCAGAACCTCGTCTTCACGGGTCTTCATTTCTGCCTTCCTCTTGCCCCCTCTGAAACCCACCTTGTATTTGAAGTATCTTTTTTATGTTTTTATGTAAAGGTATGTATTATGCCTTTAGGTCGCTCACCCATAGATGCTATTTAACCCTTTCCTCCGCGCTAAACCTGTATGCTCTTCTGCCACCTCCATCACAAGCACACCTCCGGCTCCAAGGGCGGGGGGGATCCCAGGGTTTGGCGTCCCAACACCCACCGGCACTACAGCCGCCTGCCTCAGAATTAGATCATCTTACGCTGATTAGGAGAGTGCAAGACCAGCACCGCTTGACAGCCAGGTCTGCACAAACAAGCCGAGAGCATTTTTAATAACCCGTCGGCTGCCGGGACCCGGGGCGGGGGCTGGGGCACAGCCGAAAGCACCCGCGGAGTCGCTCCCGGCACTGAGGGGGCGCTTGGCTGAGGAGATCCGCCTTCGACCCCAAAGAGGATCCCTCCCGTGCCGCGGTATTTCGCTCGGGTCTCCCCTCTCCCAGCCCAGATCACTCCCTTCCCACTCAGCACCCGGGGGAAGGGAGGGAGGCAGGGAGGGGGAGGTTTTCCGTGCGCAGCCCGGCGCAGGTGACAGGAGGGAAGTCGAGGGGCAGCGCGGGTCCCTGACCCAGATACCTCCAGAGCACTGCCCGCCCAAGGAATAACTCTGCCGCCCTGCCGCCCCCGGAGTCGCCCCCACATCACTTTCCGCATCCCCAAGATGTCCGCTGCGGCTGCTCCTGCCGCCGCCACCGGCGGGAGCGCACCCGCGGCACCGGCCGCGCCGCCCGGGCCGGGGGGTCGGCCCGCTCCCGGCATCCCGCCCCCCCTGCCGCCGCCTGCTCTTGAGTTACCTGTTTTGATGACCCGCGTAGCCTTTTTTTTTCCCCCTTCCTCTCTGCAAGGAAAATTCGCGGTCGGTCACTCGCTCCCCCCCTCCCTCGCCTCGCCGCTGCTCTCCTTCCTCCTCCTCCTCTTCCTCCTCCTTCTCCTCCTCCTCCTCAGCGGGAGCCGGTGTCAGTCAGTCACATCAGCTGCCCGGGCAGGCAGGGAGAGCAATGCCCAGGAGCTTCCGGGAGCGCCAAATAAAGACAAGTCCAGAAAGGGAGAGAGACGGTGGCAGAGATGGAGAAAGAAAGCAAAAAGTGGGTGGAGTGTGAAAATGGAGAGAGAGGGAGAGGGAGAAGTGTCTCACGGCAGCGGCTGGGAATCTGCGGGGAAATGGCAGTGGTGGAGCATCGCGGAGGAGCAGGGGAGACTGCAGGCAGCCCAGGGTGGAGGGCACCCACGGTCCTGCTTTTGCCCGTCGTGACAGCTTGAGAGGGTTGGAAGTGAGCACCCCACAAGACTGGTCTGGTCCACAGTGGGAAAGAAGAGTGAGGCCCATGTGGAAAGCATCAGATGCCTCACCTCACATGGCACGGAAGGTCGAGGGCAGCCTCATGTACACCTGGATACTTCATTGCCTACTCTGCGCTGGACTAAACTGTGTCAGCCTGGCCAGAGCTGTAGCTGGGTCCACAGTGGGCACGCTGCCTTCATTCAGTGTGGCCGTGAAATCAGGACTTCCAGTGGGCAAACCCTCGTGCTTCGGCCTCATTTGTCAGACTCGCTGGGCTTCGCACCAGTCCATACCCTGTGCCAAATGGAAGCTTGAATGTTCTGCAATAGTGCAGTGCTTGTCACCAAGTGGTCTCCCAAGGGACATTCACCTAAAGTCTGCTTCACGTGCTCGAAGCAAACGAGTTGTCTTTCTGCACAGAAGTCTTGGGAGAAGACCATGAATTCACAGCCTCTAAAGAAACAGTGTGCTCTTGAATGGGAAAAAAAAAATCATTAGATGGTGCTAATAAGAAAAACATATATATTTTTTCAAGTCAACCATGTGGTCATGCAAAAAACGGTAGCACATTTTTCTATAATATATACAGCTTATTTTAGAAGAATTTGTTTCATTTCTGATGGTCTGACAAAACTACTATAAGACATAGAACATAAGAATTTGTTTTAATTGTGCAGCAGTTAAATGTGGGCTGAGCAAAGTCATATTTTAACAAGAATGCCATGGTTAATAGCAGCTCGCAGACCTCACATGCCTGAAGTCGGTGTTAATCAAAAGCAAGCACACTGCAAGGATCTGTCTGGGATCCAAACTCAGTAATGCAGACAATATAATTGGCAGTGGAAATTGCAAAAAAAATCACTGGTGCAGTTTCCCTGTATGAAGTGAAACAAACTAGTTCTCCTTGGCATGTACAAGCAGACAGATGAAATAAACAGAACAGCACGTTTTAAACCAGAGGGTCTTGCCAAACTTCCAAAAGGGTAAAGGTAGTATGGAATTGAAAACCTGATTGAAAAAATGCACAGAACACAGAAACTACTCAAGACAAATGAAATACAAGCCCAGAAGCTCTCCTTCTGTAAGAAAAACCCAGAAGGATTAAGAAACAGGGAAACTACGACACTTAGAGTAAAGCTCCAGTTCTGTATTTCTTACAACTCAGAGGAAAAAATAAATCTCAAGACTTGTGTAGCGTCAGCATGATAAGTTGAAATTTTAGGATAATAAATGCAATAGAGTTTCTGTAGAATGTCAATTTAATTTGAGAAAATGTAGTTAAGGGATGAAAACTTTTATAAGCTCTTATTGTAAGAGCTCAGTTAAGCACTTCACATCATCCTTTTGCATAATGGGCATACAGAAAAGAAGGAGAAACTATGAGGCATTTCTTTTCTATGGAAAGTTCTATGAGGCTACCAAATGACCATATGCCCTGCATGTCTAAAACATGCCTGTAATCCATCTTCGCTCCTGTCTTCTAGTGCTTTCTTCACAAAACAGTCAAGTTATTTCTTCTTATCCCAAGGAGAATTGTGGCAAACCTAAAAGGCTTAGTCTGAAGTAAAAGGAACAACAAGAAATAATAAATTTAGTAAGGAGAAGAAAAGGAGATTCAGTAACTGTAAATTGACTTCATAAAAGGCAGGAAACCCAATGGCAAGCAAAAATATAAGATGTAGTGCCCAAAAATGCTAGAGAAGAAAGCCTTGGGGTTTCTCTAATAAAGATAACATGAAAGGGCAGTTCTACTGAAGAACTTCAGAATTTTCAATGCAGGCTGAGAAACATCCCCCAAAAGATAAGAAAATGAGACATGTGCAAATTTTGGATTCTGAAAAATATTGTATGTGCAAAAAAATTTACTAGATGACATGCATTTGTTCTTTCCCATCAGGAAAAGGACTTGGACAGCACTAAAGGATAAGTTTTGAAAGTGGTATTGGAATTGGCATCAAGTGAAACACTGAGCAAGGAATGACTGGAACATCAAGCCTTGGGGCTGGCCATTTTGCCCTCAATCTAACAAAACATTCAGATATACAGAAAACACATTGATGCCTGTAATTAAAACATTAACAGTTAAAGATTTTTATCTATGTGCTTTTTTAGTGAGGGCAGGGTCACCAACTTCCAGATCAAAACATTCCAAAGAAGCCTTAAAATTCTAACTTAGGCCATAGTCCTCTTGAAATTTTGAGGAGCAAGAGGTGCAGTAATAGGTCTCTTGCAGGAAGTTACCCAGTTGAAATGTAGGTGCTCATAGAGTGCAGTAGATTGGATTTAATATAACTTTATGATTCTTTTTTCATTTTACTTACTAACTTTGCTGCTGTAGGCAATCTGTGCCAAGGCTGAAATGTTTTATTCCCTTTTATAGAAGAGTGTATTTCTAAAGTTGTGCAGGGATCCCAAAGTACACATCAGAAGCCATAGATATAGACTATCAAAATCTCTGTAGAATGACAGCATTGTAACCTACTTAGAAGAAAATACTCTGGTGCATCTTTTATTTGCATACATGGTTTTTCCACAGAAGAAGACTTAAAAATGTTAATTGTTACTTTCCTAGTCTGTGTTGAAAATGGACTTTCAATGTATATGATTGTAAAATTTCTCTATTGGTGTAAGTTGCACCTAAATGATTCATAAGCAAGTCTGGAGAAAAGCAAAAATATTGTTGCTCCTTGACTTAATTTCATGCAGTCTATCTTTGCTGGGGCAATACAGAAAATATGGATTAAAATTGCAGAAGCATTTACTGTTGTGAAAAGAAATTGGAATATCATGTGAAAATCTTGGTAGTGTGATTTGCTAGATATGCTTAAATAATATTGGAGTGCATTCAGGACATGTCAAGATGGCTTTTGCTTACCAAATCTGCTGTTTAGTTTACAGAATTTGAAAAACAGCATATAGGTAATTAACAAAATGTATCCCTGAAGAGCCCTTCATCTTGTGGTTATCTTGTACAGATCAAGTGTCAAAACACACAAGAAAAAATAAAGAGAAGATTCTGCCAAAGAAGTGGACAGCTTTTCCTCTCAAACTGGGATTAAATCTGTCATCATTCAAACTGTTCACCTGTAAAATATGCAGGCAGATTCAAATTACATTTCATTTTACGTCTGTCGTTCCACTGCTTTTTTATCTCTTCTTTGTATTCTTTCTTATGCAGTAAGCTCTGGGGGTGTGGGCTCTCATAATTGTACATTAATTAGTTGCATGCTTCTTTTTAGACATAGCAACATAAAAAGTTAAGTAATAAGCACGCGCTCATCATTAAGTGTGTGAGTAATGGCATCCCCATGTAGCAGAGCACTTAAGCATTCCCATTGTATTTAAGCAGCTTGTCACATAGGGATGGAATTACTCACTTGTTTATAATTCAGTATACATTTAAGGGCTTTGCTGATTTCAAGGGGAAACTGTTCTGATCTCAAAAATACTAGTCTTTGTTACTGCTTTTACTAATGGTAGTTGTGTGGTTTAATTCAGTTCTGTAGAGGTTTTGGGAAAGCTCCTCAGGGGATATGGTAGGCCTGGGCCTCAGCTCTGCTAAGTATTTTCATTGCCCTGTCTATTGATGATCATGGGGTACAGGTTCATGTTGTGTTTTTGCTAAACAACCTGTTTTATACACTGCTGAATTTTGATAAGGGTTTCAAGTTAAGTTTTGTAGTTCTCATTTAATTATAGGCAGAAATTTGCAAGGAATTTCTAATGAGGATGACTTGACTGAGCAAATCTTCCAAGTATGTGAATGTAGTGTTACTGTGCCACCTTGAACTCTGTTGCTGTGTATCAAACCTATGGAAGAAGTAGCCAAAAGGAATAACAAAGTCTTACTCATTGGTCAGTGTTAGTTTTCTCATTTTAGAATCTTAGCATTTCTGTTTAAGCTTCCTGGTTCTGTTTTCACCTTCCTTTCAATCTGGGATATAGAAGGTTCTTTAAGAGAGACTGGCAGTATTCTCCAATGAGGCCCCAACACAACTAAACAACTAAACTGCTTCCAGCTTAGTAGTTAAATGCACAGTTCTCCTTTGGTAGAGTTTCAGGACAACTTTACCATGATGCTGGCTCACTGTTCCAGACTCAGATGTGAGCTGTGAACCATCTTAGTAAGATAATTGTAGCTAGGTAAATGTCCATGTTCTCAATCTAGTCTTTGCCAGCACTTTGTAATCCATCTTCAACAAAAGTGCAAGAGTACCCAAACACTGCTGGAAGTCAAAACCAAATAAAGTGTTCCATGGTCATCTTCATGCCACAGCTTCTTTGACTTACGTGTCCCACCATCCCTGAAGTTCCAGTCACTTTCAAAATGTGCAAATGGGTCAGGCATGGAAGTCTGGTGTTTTAATTTGTGTATTCTTGTGGCTTCATTTTTTTCTTAATATGTGACATTTTTTTTCATTGTTTGCTGCTGTGTTTCTTTCATCACTGTGTGTATGATGGCATCACTGTTGTGATCAGGGCTTGTCAAGATTTGCTGTGTCTACATCATCAGTAAAAGGCATCAGTCTTCTTCATGTTCTACTGGCAGTTAAAATCCCTCATTTAGTGATCAGTCAAAGCCATTTTTGCTTGTTGCTGAGGAGGTTCTGACATGACATCCTTTTCTTTCCCAGGAAATCCAGGTTGTAGTGGGTTTTAATTTTCCATCTGTTGGAGGTAGAAAGAATAGAGTCAGCTCTAAAGTTTTTCGTGGGAAAACTTAAAAATTATTACCTGCGATCAATATTCTTGTTGCATAGGAAAGCCCTGACCACTGGTGCAGCAGAGGTGCTGAAAAATCTAGATGCACAGAAAATAAGTTTCTTTTTCATGAAAATCTGGGGATATTTGAGATTCTTTTTGTTAATGAATTCAAAGTTTATTGT